GCACTTTGGTTGAATCAATAATTGCTTGCTGCTCTGCTCTAAAGTTAGTTGAGTTTTCCGGAGGCTCATGATGTTTCTACTGTGGTCCCATCTTGCAGCATGATGACCGATCCAGCTCCTCTATTTGTTTCTGCTCCCTCCAATGATCCACAAAATACAACTGCTGTGCGAAAGATGGTTGACTGGAAGGGCCGAATGTAAGACAGGCCTGCATGCCCAATTTGCGTGTGTCCATTCGGGTTTTGGAAAACAGTTGCAGACATGTTCAAGGGTCTTTGCATGCAGTACTAGGTCACATTCTTCAGCCTTTCTGTCTATGCCAGGAATTGTTGTTGTGACTGTACAGTTAGGCTGTAGGTCTGTGTTGTATGCCTGGATCATTTCCCATGTTGAAGGATCTTTAGAAAGGATGTCACTGTTTTTTGTGCAGTACAATTTTAATAGATTGTGAAAGTGTTGCCTTTTCAGTCAGTTTTTAGTTAAGTTATTTGCTGTTCTACACATGGGATTGTTGTTTATGCGTTTAAATTTTGCTGTTAGGGTAAGCACCTTGTCTTCCCTTCAAACTCAAGCTCTGGAGGCCAGAAGTTGCCTCCAGCTCATGGACTGGTGTGCTTCTCATACCTCCAGTGATGATTCTGAGACCAGTGTTCTGTATTTTGTCCAGTTTGAACAGGTTTGTTTTAGCTGCAGTTGAGTATGCTCACATGCCATACTCCAGTTTTGGTCGTACGTATCCAGTGTATACGTGTCGTACAGTGTTGGCATCTGCACCCCAGCTTGTTCCAGTAAGTTTCTTCATAAGTCTGAGCCTCAGGGTTGCTTTCCTTTGGGTGTCTTCAATGTGGGGGCCCCAGGTTGGCCTTTTGTCAAATTTTACTTCCAGATATGTGGGGTTATCCTCTTTTGGAAGGACGTTGCCTTCTAGGTACAGATCAACTTGTTCGGTTTTAGTATGATTTATTGTGACCCGACAAGTCTGTCCATTTCTTAACTGTATTTACAGCTTCCTGCATTCTTATTTTAGTTGTTCCTATGTGTTCAGCTTGGGTCCATAGGTCCATATGTGTGCTAGTTTTAGCAAGTCCTTTCTTCAAAGGCTTTGGTCAGGTCGAAGAAAGTAGCTAGCAGTTTGTATTTTCTTCTGGAAAGCATCTTCAATTTCCTGTGCAAAATAAGAGGTCTGGTCGTCAGTGCTTCTGTATTTTCTGAAACCTGATCGGCCGTCATCCAATATCTTGTTTTCTTCCAGGAAATTAAGTAACGTGCTGTTCACTAATCTTTCCATGGCAGCTTCTGGAAGAGGTGGGGGGGGGGGGGTAAACTACATTTGTTTTCCTTGGGCTTCCCTTTCTTGGCTACGGGGACTATTTTTGCCTCCTTACATTTCTTAGGAAAAAGAATATTGAGTCTATTCTTTTTTCCTGCCACAACTACACCCCTATGGTGATCTCCTTCTTCTTTTGTCGTCTCACTGGTACCAGATTGTAGCTCAGTGTCATGTTTGTCTGTATTTATCTTGCGCTTCTCGAGTGGCCTGTGTGATGGATTTGTTCATCAGTTTTGCAGGTTAAGGCTACATCATTTATCCATCTCTTTCTTGGTCTTCATCTCGTTTTCCTCCCAGATGTTGTGCTGTAAAAAAGTCTCACGGTGATCATTTCATGATATTCTTTACATACATTTCAAAAATCACATCTCTGCAACCAGCAGGTGTTTTTCAGCTTTTCAGTTTATTGTCCACATCACACATGCACATAACAACACAGGTTACTATATCACATTTTAACACTCTTTTCCTCACTGCTGTTGATACTTTTTTTTTCTAAGGCAACTCACTGACCGAAAATACTGGAATGTTGTGATCACTTATTTAAACTCTCGACCATGCATCTGAAAGAAAACTGGCTGGTTCTACGCCACTCGGTGGGGACTTGAAGATTGGCAAGCAAGATGTTGTCCATGTCCTTTGGGAGCAAGTAAAGTGAGCTAAAGTACAAACAGGCAAGCAAGATGTTGTCTATGCCCATTGGGAGCAAGTGAACCGAGCTGAAGCACAAACAGGCAAGCAAGATGTTGTCTATGACCTTTGAGAGCAAGTGAACTGAGCTAAAGCAAAAACAGGCAAGCAAGATGTTGTCTATGCCCATTGGGAGCAAGTGAACCGAGCTGAAGCACAAACAGGCAAGCAAGATGTTGTCTATGACCATTGAGAGCAAGTGAACTGAGCTAAAGCAAAAACAGGCAAGCAAGATGTTGTCTATGACCTTTGGGAGCAAGTGAACTCAGCTAAAGCACAAACAGGTAAGCAAGATGTTGTCCATGACTTTTGGGAGCAAGTGAACCGAGCTAAAGCACAAACAGATTTTCAGAGTCCAGAGTGAATCCAGCAGCAGGGAGTGACCAGGGGATCTAGATGACCCATCACTCAGAGGAGGAGAAGGCAGTTATACAACCAGACCGCTACTGATATCAGCAGGAACTGGAACTCTGCATCCCTGTGTGGATTCTGGTCCCCATTGTGGTAGGAAAACAAGAATAGACCCTCTGCCTACCCAAAAGCATGTAGTTAAAGTTGACTAACTAGAAGCTTCCTTCGAAGTTGAAGTACATCTGCCTGTGAGGCAAGGAACCGAGTCTGCATGCAAATGAGTCAGATCTGTGAAATGCATGTGTACGCAATACTCGGGTTCTTGAACAGGACTAGAGTCCAGAAATTGACGAACAACCAGAACTTTCTTCCAGAGTTTACAGCTGGTGATCATGAAGAAGAAGAAGGAACTCTGCATTCGCAGCTGAAGATAGGGGACTAGAGCAAATATAGCAGTGTCCCATTTGCTGAGATATTGATACCTAATTCAACTCATCTCTGAAGAAGAGAGGTTATCTAAAAATTGTGGATCCCAATTCTCTCAAACTACAGAAAACATCTACAATCCACATATAATAATAGAGAAATGGCAAAAAGGTACACATATAAATAACGAGTCAAAATCTTCTATTTCACATAACTGGAATTCAAACAATAAAGAAAATATCAGGAATTTACATGGGAATTACATAAAGAAATTTACATGTTCAAAAATGAGAAATTTCTATACAATTTACACTGTTGAATGAAAAGACACTTCTCTACAATTTACATCTTTCACTAACAGAGAAAGCACTCTACAATTTACAGATTTAACTAACATAAATTTCACATAATCAATGAAGAAATACTTCTTGACAAGTTACAAATTCAACAAACGCATATATTTCTAAACAATTTACATATTCAACTGAGAGAAGCATTTCTCTCAAATGGACCTATTCAACAGAGAAATATGAAAAGATTCAATAGAAAAATGTCCCTAAAATAAACATTCAATAGAGAAATTTTTCCATATGAGAGGGGGCATTCAGAAAGTAATACCTCACGATATGTCTCTCTCTTTTTCACTCGCAAAGTATTCTTGCAAAATGTATGAAAGTCATCGACTATAACCTATGATGTCCTTTTAACCATCTTCACTGCTGTATCTACCAGCTGGTGGCCTCAGACGGGTTTGGGGTGGGGGTGGTCCGACTGATTTGAGGCTGCTGACCAGGGCAGTCACCACAAACTTTGCAGGTGGGGGGTTGTGTATTTCACACCTGACAGACAAATCCACATCTCTTACCGAGAATCACACCCGGGTTTTGTCTATGACAGCCAAGGATTCTAACCATATGCTCCTCTAAGAAGTCCTTTACAAATCACTATTTTCTAATTATATGACCTCACAGCTACACAAGGGTATGCATATTTTGCCTGTACCTGGTTTTGTCCTGTGTGTTCACCTTGTAATTTCTTCACAGCATGAACATCATCGAGAGTCGCCGTGGCCGAGCGGCTAGACGCTCGCCGCGGATAGGAAGGTCGTGGGTTCGCTTCCTGGCGAAGCCGGACTTATTTCAAAAATGACCTTGGCTCCCATGTCGACCCAGCCTTGAGTGGGTACCGGGTGCAGTTCCGGGAAAGTAAAGGCGGCCGGCGTGATGCTGACCACATCACCCATCTTGTGCCGATTGGTCTATAAAAATATAGGTCTAGCCCTATACGCCTAAAGGCGTGGAAAAGGGTCCTTCACTTCACTTCACATGAACATCATCACCAAGTCTATCTCTCCACATTCTGAAGCTTTAATTCTCTGAACCCAGTGACCAACGGTGCTCTTACTGACTGCCCAACTTCCGCACACAGCACACAAACATTTATGAGTGTTCACTGATTGCTTCCTCTACAAGAAATGTTACACTGATTTGTTGCTTCAAACCCACACTAGCTTTGCCTGCTATCTTATTAATGCAGCTGTTCTCTCACAATGAGTTTCCATCTGATACACACAAAATTTCAAATCAGCAAAGTGCAAAATGTCTCATTTCTATTTTCAATGATAAAAGAAAAATATGCATCAGTTTCTTAGCACCCCTCGTAAACTTTCAATCCATATGAAAACGTCTTTAAAAAATGGGACATTCATGTAACTCCCGCCTCTCATACATGTTTCACAGTTTTTTTTAAATTAAAGAAAAGTGATAGCCATATACTAGTTCAATAATTTCCTATAATGGAGAGGGGGAAATCTCAAAACTGACAGCAGCATTTCCTTAAAGACCTACAATAACCTCACAGACATCAACAAAGTTGGCAGTAAAATCTAATTTTTCATCAACAGAACTAGCTGGATTTTCCTAAATAACTAGGAAAAAACCTCCATGACATCAACAAAACTGACAGCAACATCTGCAAACTAGAGAGAAAACAACTCCTTGACACCAACAAAATTGATGGCAACATCTGTACACTAGAGCGAAAACAACTCCTTGACATCAACAAAATTGATGGCAACATCTCTTGAAGAACTAGAAAAAACCTTGTTGACGTAAATTGACCAAAAAAACCATAAATCAAAAACACTGGTGACCCACAGTGGAGAGACTGCAGAACTATATAGCCACAAGGAGTCATCTAGCTTTCAATTGCTTGCTATATTGCTTGGTTCCCCTGAAGAGCCTCGAGGAGAGGATGCAGTGTCATCAGTTCCATAGGATTTCTTGTTTGTGGTGTTGATGTTGGCCCTCTCGTCAGTTTTGTCTGCTTCTTCGTCGTCTCCTTGTCCTATAATAATTGGCTGGGATGTGACTGGTTCATCTGGAGAACTCATTTCCTCCTGGGGACAAATAAATGTGACTGGTTCATCGGAGGAAAACTCAGTCCCTCCTAGGGACAAATTAATGTGGTTGGTTCAAGGGGAGAACTCATTCACTCCTGGGGACAAATAAATGTGACTGGTTCATCTGGAGAACTCATTCACTCCTGGGGACAAATAAATGTGACTGGTTCATCTGGAGAAATCATCAAATAAATGTGACTGGTTCATCGGGGGGAAACTCAGTACCTCCTAGGGACAAATTTATATGGTTGGTTCAATGGTAGAACTCATTCACTCCTGGGGACAAATTTTTTTGATAAGTTCAATAGGAAAACTGGAGAACTCATTCACTCCTGGGGAATAAATAAATTTGTTTGGTTTAATGGGAGAACTCATTTCCTCCTAGGGACTATACACACACAAACGTGATGATGGACAATATCAGTAGAATAAATGTGATTGTTGGACAATGCCAGAAAAATAAATGTGATTGCTGGACAATGTCAGGAGAATAAATGTGATTGCTGGACAATGTCCGGAGAATAAATGTGATTGCTGGACAATGCCGGGAGAATAAATGTGATTGCTGGACAATGCCAGGAGAATAAATGTGATCGCTGGACAATGCCAGAATAAATGTGGTTGCTGGACAATGCCAGAAGAATAAATTGATCGCTGGACAATGCCAGGAGAATAAATGTGATTGCTGGACAATGTCCGGAAAATAAATGTGATTTTTGGACAATGTCTGGAAAATAAATGTGATTGCTGGACAATGTCGGGAGATTAAATGTGATTGTTGGACAATGCCAGAAGAATAAATGTGATTGTTGGACAATGCCAGAAAAATAAATGTGATCGTTGGAGAATGCCAGAAGAATAAATGTGATTGTTGGAGAATGCCAGAAGAATAAATGTGATTGTTGGAGAATGCCAGAAGAATAAATGTGATTGTTGGACAACGCCAGAAGAATAAATGTCACTGCTGGACAATAATACTGCTCGAGAGTGTAAACTGAGCATATCCTTAATTGCTCATAGTGCTTTTCCAAGCATGTTTCTTAGCATATTTTAATTGACCTGTTCTGTACCGGCTGATTAAGCAAACAAAAGAAAGGCTAACTAACACAAGGCAGTCCTCCGCAGTGTAAAATACTCACATGCAGGTTGGCGTATTCACTACCATCTGGAGGTTGTGGTCGACACCTTCCGCAGCAGAAGTTGCAGCACATGCAACAGCAGCAGCAAAAGTAGCATCCGGTGATGATGCCACAGAAGATAGCTAGGGCCTGATGGAGGAAACCAAATGTTAACTCTAGGATACATGTTTTAACCTATATGAGGAAACCAAATGTTAACTCTAGGATACATGTTGTAACCTTTATGAGGAAACCAAATGTTAACTCAAGGATACATGTTTTAACCTATATAAGGAAACCAAATGTTAACTCTAGGATACATGTTTTAACCTTTATGAGGAAACCAAATGTTAACTCAAGGATACATGTTTTAACCTTTATGAGGAAACCAAATGTTAACTCAAGGATACATGTTTTAACCTTTATGAGGAAACCAAATTTTAACTCAAGGATACATGTTTTAACCTTTATGAGGAAAACAAATGTTAACTCAAGGATACATGTTTTAACCTTTATGAGGAAACCAAATGTTAACTCAAGGATACATGTTTTAACCCTAATGAGGAAACCAGATGTTTACTTAAGGATAAATGTTTTAACTTTTATGAGGAAACCAAATGTTAACTCAATGATAAATGTTTTAACCTTTATGAGGAAACCAAATGTTAAATCAAGGATACATGTTTTAACCTATATGAGGAAACCAAATGTTAACTCAAGGATACATGTTTGAACCTTTATGAGGAAACCAAATGTTAACTCAAGGATAAATGTTTTAACCTTTATGAGGAAACCAAATGTTAACTCAAGGATACATGTTTTAACCTTTATGAGGAAACCAAATGTTAACTCAATGATAAATGTTTTAACCTATATGAGGAAACCAAATGTTAACTCAAGGATACATGTTTGAACCTATATGAGGAAACCAAATGTTAACTCAAGGATACATGTTTTAACCTTTATGAGGAAACCAAATGTTAACTCAATGATAAATGTTTTAACCTTTATGAGGAAACCAAATTTTAACTCAAGGATACATGTTTTAACCTTTATGAGGAAAACAAATGTTAACTCAAGGATACATGTTTTAACCTTTATGAGGAAACCAAATGTTAACTCAAGGATACATGTTTTAACCTATATGAGGAAACCAAATGTTAACTCAAGGATACATGTTTTAACCTTTATGAGGAAACCAAATGTTAACTCAAGGATACATGTTTGAACCTTTATGAGGAAACCAAATGTTAACTCAAGGATACATGTTTGAACCTTTATGAGGAAACCAAATGTTAACTCAAGGATACATGTTTTTAACCTTTTTGAGGAAACCAAATGTTAACTCAGGGATACATGTTTTAACCTTTATGAGGAAACCAAATGTTAACTCAAGGATACATGTTTTAACCTTTATGAGGAAACAAAACATTAATTCAACAGGGTTTCCAGAGCTGCCATGGTGTAGCAGCCAGGTGTTCAAAGGTCATGTGTTCAAATTCACATGAGGCCTGACTTTTTTTTTTTCCAAAACATGACCTTGGCTTCTGGGTTGACCCAGCCTTAAATGTGTACCAGGTAAAGTCATGGGAAGCAAAGGTGGTCGGTATGATGTTGACCACATTGCCCAAAGAGGGTCTAGCCTCAAATGGCCGATGCGCCACTGGCCGGTAAAGGGATCTTTACATTTATACATGTTTTCACCTGTATATTATCTGGGTGACAAGGGAAGTGAAAGACAGTAATATTGCAATCGACAATATGAGAGCTGATTCTACAAAATGACAGCCTTATGCCAACCCATCTCCTCCTTTTGAAAGCTTCTGCCGTGTGACACTGGTAGTCATATCTATCCACAACCTTCTGTCTCGTGTACTTTCAATCAGTTCTGACACAGATGATCTTCCATATAGTGTGGCATTGATAGTCATGTCGATCCACAACCTTCTGTCTCGTGTACTTTCAATCAGTTCTGACACAGATGATCTTCCATATAGTGTGGCATTGATAGTCATGTCGATCCACAACCTCTGTCTCGTGTAATTTCAATCGATTCTGACACAGATGATCTTCTATACCATTTCATACAGTAGTCATGTCTATTCACAACCTTCTCTCTCGTGTACTTTCAATCAATTCTGACACAGATGATCTTCCATGCTGCACGGCACTTGCAGTCATCACAAAGTCACTGAATAAATAAATTTCTCCATGTGATGTGGGTTCCGGGGCCCTACTGGGGAAAAAAGAACAGACCCACTGCCCTATTACAAGCATGTCATAAGAGGCTAATCAACGATGTTTCATTCAAAGTCAGAGTGCATCTGCCTGGCAGGTGAGGAACCAACAGCCTGCATGCAAATAAGTCAGATCTGTAAATTAAATGTGCACACAAAACTCAGGTTCTGAAACAAGATTAAAGTCCAGAAGTGGATGAACAACCAGAATTTTCACCGGAGTTTACAGATGGTGAACGCGAAGAAGATCTTTACTCCCAGGTCGGCCCGGCTCAAAACTGGCACCAGGTGGTGTCAGGGGAAGTAAAGGTAGTCAGTACATGTTTACCACATCACACAGAGTACCCACTGTCTATTAAAATATATAGGTCCAGCCCTATATGCCCAAAGCACCAAAGGCCTTAAAATGATCCTTTACCTGCGTGTGTGAGCGTGCGTGGGCATGTGTGTGTGTGCGCATGCGCACGTGTGTGTGTGTGTGTAACCAGAAAAGACCAAGTCGTAGAAATGTAATATAACAACAATACAACAATGTAATGTGAATTTTCAAACACCAACACATGAGCAGCTGTAAGATAAAGGCACAGAAACATTGGTTGACATCATCCCATCACACGGTGCACACTGAGATGAATACACACACAATGATTTATCAACAAACAATGGCAACCGAAACTGGAACTTCAAGTGTCGACCAACAATTTCTCTGTCAGGCTTCATGTGGCCCGAGATTAATTCTGCACCGTCTTCACAATGAAGGCTGGCTTGAGTGTACCCAGGGTTGTCTCTGGGAATATTGTGTGGTGAGGCCCCTAGCTTGCTCTTTCATTAATTAAAAAAAAAATTACCTTATTCAACCAGCTTCGGTTATAATTGTGGTTGTTGCTCTGCGCTGAACTATTTTGTTTTTGCCAGTCTTTGTGATGTGCGATCACGCCTGATTTTTCGTATCTTTGAATATCTGCCGAGTTAGTGGCCGGTGGGGTTACTGCTGCTGTGAAAAATGGGGTTCTTTAGTCCTGTTAAAGTCTTGTCTTCAGAAGGACTGTTTTCAGGCTGCCTGTGATGTGTGTGCCATCCGCCTAGTTCCTGATATTTGTCTGGGTTCTGTGGGGTTTTCTGTTGTGTTTAGAGAACTGGTGGTGCCCTCATTGGCCTTTTCTGGTATTCTTGGTTTGTTGTTTTGCACTGTTCAGGTTTGGTGCCTGCACAAGTCCTAAATGGAGGAGGGGGGGGGGGGGGGGGGGGTGTGGTCTTGGGGCATGGTGTCCACCTTGAGTGCTGGAGGTTTGTGTGTGCGCTGGGTTCAAGTCCCAGTGAAGGCTGGGATTTTTTCACCTGGACTTCATTTAATTTCTCCTGGTATCTGGGTAGTAAGATCTGACGCCCTTGTGTACTGTTGTGCACCTAAAAATCCTTTGGCAGTTGGAAATCGAAAAAGAGTAGCCTAATGGTGCTGCCCGGACAAAATTTGGAGTTGAAAATCTATCCAAAATACTTCAGGATCCTCACCGGTGCTACAGAGTTCGTGCACTGCGCTGAGATTCTTCAGACAGACTTGAGTCAGAAGTAGAACAGAGCATCTATGCGTTGCTACCCTAGTGCCATGATGTTGATCCGTGGTCTAAACCTAAACAAGTCACCAAGCTCTTCCAAGGTGCAACTCTTCTGTGACTGTTAGAAAGCCATGATAATGGTTGTTGATTTTATTACTTACTGGAGATAATGAACTCTATTATTCAAGGATCATGAAATTGTTTAACAATCTGGCTCATTTCTAAGCTACAAAGCCACTAAGATAAATGTTTACTGTCAAATTGTTTGGTCAGTCAGTTAAACAAATGGTTGGTTGGTCAATCCATTAAGTGAATGGTTGGTTGGTATATCTTAAAGATCTGGTTTATTTAACTCTTTCAGGCCCATGAATTTGGACAGACTTAGCCCACAATAATTTTCTTTTACAAAAATGGCAGAGGGGGTAGTGTACAAGAAAGGCAATAGAGAATGTAATATACTTCGAATCCCTATAAAAGTTCATATTTTTTTAAAGAGAAATAAAAGTACATTTTGAATTTCATGATAAGTGTATGTTTAATTTTTTTTTGAAGTTAGGAAAGAAGAATTCAGCAGGTGTTAATTTTACAAGCAAATTCTTCACTCACCATGGTTTTGCAGCCACAAGAGTAGTAAATATCAATTTTCTAACAAATTCCAAAGTTATGATGAGTTTCTGGGTTAGTTTAGCAATCAGGGGCTCTTAGTTCTCACAGTGCTGAGCAAAATGTCAGAGAAAATGTGGCAGAAAATGGGCCATTACACACACTATTTACTGTTTACTTTGTACAGTTAAATACAAACTGTAGCTGCAATTATTTTAATGAAGCTTAGCCATATTATAGTATAGTACTGTCTCTTTGTTTGGAGCACTTTCCTTCTCTTACACCGTACAAATGGTAGCAATGGGACATTGTGTAAACTCATCAGAATCGCTAGACTCTCCCCAATAGCTAATGGTGAAAACTCACCGTCCGAATCACTTTCTGAAAAATCTAAATTTTCATTATCATTATCAGAATTAAAAACATCTGACTCAAACAATTTCAGAGCTTCGGCCGCAGAAAGACGCATTCTGTGACCTGTACTTGTGGTTGGAACACTGGTATTCATGGCACTCGAAAACGAACTTAGAAAATGCACTGTGAAGAAATGTAGCTATGACTCCAATCAATATATGCATGTGTGGCTTGGGATATGGATGTTGCTAAAAAGAAATTGTTTAGAGTGACTTTCCCTGAAATCTTTAATCGTAGTTCCAAACTTTAGAAACAAGTACAGAGCCGTGTGCGAAGCAATATGTACGGGACACAGGAACAACGATGACAGCGTTATTTGGACAAACGCTCACACTGTTGTTCGGACCTTAAAGAATTAAGTCTTCTTTCTCTATTTTCCCTTATTAAAATTATATGTGTGTGTATCTATGCATGTGAGTGTGTGTATTCAAAAGAGGATTAATTTAAATTCCCAGGTAAAAGAGAATAGACACAATCATGAACCTCAAGACTTATAATCAAAAGTAGATAATTTTATTTAAAAAAAAAAAAAAAGTAATTTACCTTGCACCAGCCACTAGTGAGTACAAGATAAGTGTTGACGTTTTCCTCCCCAAACTGCTCCGCTGCATAAATACCCATAGACCCATACCGATCATAGATACCTCGCTTGGTGGTGTCTGAAAGTATCACGTTTGCTCGGTTGATTTCCTTGAACTGAAGGGAAAACATTGGTCAATTTGGATGGTCAAGAAAACAAACAAGTAGAGATGAGTGTCATGATCTAGATCAGTGATTCCCAAACTGTGCGCTGCGGAGTCCCAGGGAGTTGCCACTTCTTCACAGGAAAGCCAGGAAATATTCGAAGATACACAAGTTTTTTTTTTAAATCTCTTACATATGAATAGTTGTACTTTTCCTCAGGTTAGAGCACCACTGAAAAATTGTAATTGATAAAAGGTGCCGCGACTAAGGAGAGTTTGGGAAACACTGATCTAGATTATGAGCTATAAGCTTTACATATGATGTGTGAACCACTGGACACAAAAGAAGTAGGTTACTCAGTGTCAATCATCTACACTTAGAAGAAAACCAATCCTTCTTATTAACGTTCTCTGTCTGTAGACTACAGTGAAAAGCTCTGGCCATTCATCCACTTCTGGGCTTTGGTCTTGTTCCAGAACTTAAGTTTTTGTGCTCACCCATTTGATAGATCTTACTTAGTCAGTCTTAGTCAGATGCACTGACTTCGGAGAAAAGCCCCTAATTAGTCACATTTTATGACATGTTTGTTGGGTGGGTGGGTGGGGGTGGAAAGGGGAGGGGGGTGTCAAATTTTCCCACAAGCTTCACTAATAGTCACTGCATGAGTCTCTAAGTACCTACGTTTACAGGCCCCGGGGAATATATTCCACTTAAGGCTTCACCCAGTTCGTGTTCACTGATTACTCCCTTCATACATCTGTAATTATTTTGAAAAAGAATCACAAAATACTGATCAATAAATTTATAACAAATTAATTACTATTGATCTGTGTAAAATGTTTACGTTTTTTTTTTTAAAGGAATTTTCCTGGAATTTTAAAGGGAGTCATAAACCATTTTCTTTTTAGTGTTTTGGGTAAGAGGGCTACATCTCTCCCAGCACCAATTCTTTGATAAGATAAGTGGAGGAAAAGAAGAAGAATTATCTACATAAGAGGCCAGTCATTGGGCCTAGACTAAAAGTGCGAAGAGACTGGGCTTACTAGCAATTTAGTATGGGATTCTAAGACATCACATGCTAAATAAAGTGAAGATGTGTTCATCTCACGGTATAAATCTCAGGGTGTAAAGTTAACTTATTAGGTAATAGCCAAATGGAAAAAAGGACAAACATACATAAGATTACCTTCTCTGCAGCGTCGGGGCTGTCTCTATTTTTGTCTGGGTGGAATTTGAGTGCCAACTGTTGATAATTTGATAAACAAATATATAAGATTAATGAAGATGATTAGAATTATATACATGAACAATTTAAAAAAAAAAAAAAGAGGACAATAAAAGATAAAGGTAATAATCATAATTTTCTTCTTCTTTTTAGCATTCACTAGCTGTAAACTCTGGTAGAAAGTTCTGGTTGTTCGTCTACTTCTGGACTCGGGTTTCGTTCCAGAACATAAAAACAAAGTTTTCCTATTTTGTCTGTCCATCAAACTTATTTGCAATTAAAATTGTTTTAGAAAGGAGAGGGACTGGTTACAGTGTCCACCTCTGGCCACTTTTACTTTCCAGGAGACTTCTGGGTACTCAATTTGAGCTGGGCTGACCTGGCAGGTAAAATAATTTTTGTTTGTAAAGCCAAACAATGCAGATTTAAACTCAAGACCTTCGGGTCAAATGGCAATTTAAACTAACAATAAATATAAACAAACATACATTCACCCACAGCACGAGAGCGAGAGAGAGAGACAGAGAGAGAGAGAGAGAGAGAGAAAGAAAGAGAGAGAGAGAGAGAGAGCTATACCCGTCTGTATGCTTTCTTAATCTCATCACTCGTTGCTCCTTTTTGAAGACCCAGCAGCTCATACAATGAGTTCCCTGAGCGGCTGTGGATGCAAACAAACAGAGAATCAGAAACAACATGAGAACAGTGTCTTACTTAAAGTGAAAGGTAAAAAAAAAAAACAGCATGAAAACAGTGTCATATCTAAAATGAAGGGTAAAAAAAAATTACCAGTTTAACAGGCACCAACACATGTTGGAAGAAGCGTAGACAAAGCAGAAATCATCAATACTGTACGGACTAGGTTACTAGGTAATGAAAACTCTTGGACGCTAAGTTGATTGTGTGACATTGGAGTAAAGCACAGTGAAGTGCTACTGTGCCACCTTCATGGCTGAGACAGGAGACATTGTAAACAGCTCTTCACGGAAACAATCAGTAGCAATACCTTGGAGTGGCTGCTGCATCCGAGGATTAAACATGTACGGGAATGCCCAATGTGCAGTGATGTCTATAGTGATAACCTGACATATCTAAAATACAAACATGTGTCATATCCACAAAGAAGGTTCGCCGGCGTATTTAGAAATAATAAGTGGGGAAGCTCTTTTACAACATGACTCTTGCACCTCTGTTAAATTTTTAACGCCTGCTATGGAAGTCATACACTAGTCTATTGATTCTTAAACTTCTTCGAGTCGCAACACCATTTTATAGGGACAAAGTGATTTGTGACCGCAATAAATTAAAAATAATCTTTGTAGTAGGATAAATGAAAACACACTGAAAATAGATTTTTCAGTACACTATAGTTCTAAATAATTGTAAATTCTTTGTGGAGGACGTTATTTTTTTTAAAAACTGTTCACAGCTCACCACCTCACATAAAATGGTGAATGAATGCATCTGTTCAGAACAGCAAGTGCAAAGCTACCAACTCTGATGGTATCTCTTACCAGTCTCTAACACTATGCCACAGCCACACATCTCTAACCTCTGTACCACAGCCACACATCTTTAACCTCTATGCCACAGCCACACATCTCTAACCTCTTTGCCACAGCTACCCATCTCTAACCTCTGTACCACAGCTAAATCTACCACTAGTAGATGAAAGGATTGGACATCATCATTTGTTGTGAAATGCTGAATGTAAGAATCGACATCACAGTGCTCAAAACATTCTTACAAGCGCTCCGTCCCCATTTTCAACAGCAAGTGCAAAGCTCCAACTCTGATGGTATCATTACCAGTCTCACTGTATATCCATCTTGCCTTTTTCTTGAGTGTCGGACACTTACCATGCACAAACAGCAAAACAAACCAGAAAACAAGGATAACAATTTTGAATGTTGAATTAAGAATCGACATCACAGCACTTGGGACATCCCCATAATCTCCCTGTCCACATCTTCAGCAGCAAGCAAACAGTTACAATGATGGTACCAGTAACTGTCTGATTGCATATGCGTCTCGCCATTCCCCTGAGTGTTAAGCGCCAGCCAGATTCCCATGTAACTCCTCGCAGTGCCATTCTCCCCAGATAACAAAGATTTATCTCCGCCTCCGCACTGTTCAGTCGCTTCCAAAGAACCCTGACAACATCCACCGTGTCACACATCAATTCACCACCAAGTGGTCCATAACCGGCCAGTGTATATCATTTTCCAATTCACTGGCAAGACCTGAAGAAAATATCCGAAGAATGCTAACTACAGAAAACAAGAAGGAAAACGGTAAACATAACCAGCTAACAAATTTTTCTATCGCTAGCTACCACAACACCTGGAAGCCAATAAAGCATTGACTGATCACCATGATTAAGTTGAGAATTACGAAAGCACAAAATACCCCACACCTGTGCCGCCACACACACAAATTAACAGCCGTAATAAAAGCAAGCCTGAAGGCCTTGCCTAGGAAAACCCTGTTAAATTACTACACAGCCAAACAGAGGAGATCCTTACATTTTGGTTATTAATCCCAAGCGGGCTATTAGTTGCCAGCTGCGTGAACGCTTGTCACCTATATATATCTAATAAGTGAAAATACTAGACTGATATTGAGTGGGTTGTGCAGTTAAAACATATGTTAACATACTGTCAATGGATAATGTTAATATTTCCTGACGGACCTGACATTACTGCACTTTAAGAAATATTAACGCCATAATGTAGCAGAAATGACTGCACTCTAGGAAATATTAATGCCATAATGTAGCAGACATTACTGCGCTCTAGGAAATATTAATGCCATAATGTAGCAGACATTACTGCGCTCTAGGAAATATTAATGCCATAATGTAGCAGACATTACTGCACTCTAGGAAATATTAACGCCATAATGTAGCAGACATTACTGCACTCTAGGAAATATTAATCTAAAAATATAGCAGACATTACTGTAGTCTAGAAAATATTAATAGCATAATATAGCAGACATTACTGCACTCTAGGAAATCTTAATGCCATAATTTAGCAGACATTACTGCACTCTAGGAAATATTAACACCATAATTTAGCAGACATTACGGCACTCTAGGAAATATTAATGCCATAATGTAGCAGACATTACTGTACTCTAGAAAATATTAACGGCATAATAAAGCAGACATTACTGCACTCTAGGAAATATTAATGTCATAATGTAGCAGAAATTACTGCACTCTAGGAAATATTAATGGCATAATATAGCAGACATACCTGCACTCTAAGAAATATTAATGCCATAATGTAGCAGACATTACTGCACTCTAGGAAATATTAATGTCATAATATTACTATAGATACTATAGGCATCTCAACACCTCTAAGGGATGGGGGGTATCAGACCCAGCCACATACTTCTATGTGTTACTTCCCAACCATTCTCGCACTGCTAGCTGTATCATTCTCTCTGGACACTATTGATCTATTTGTGCTTCTGCAATGTTCATTTGCTTCAAAAGGGCCTTAGCCACATCTAGCTTGTCATGCTTACATTCTGTATTGGCACAGATCCAGCCATCTATCTGCCTTATGATTTCCCAACACACCTGCATCCCCCCCCCCCCGCCAAAAAAAACCACTATGTGAGTGTGTGTGTGTTACAGACAAAGAGAGAAAGGGGGGTGGGAGAGAGAGAGAGAGAGAGAGAGAGAGAGAAAGAGAGAGAGAGAAAGAGAGAGAGAGAGGAAGAGAGAGAATATTCCCAAGAACAAAAACTATAGGAAGTAGAGTAGCAGAGCACATTGAGAAATGACTACATCTACGAATAAGTGAGACTACAAAAAAGTCAAAAATATTCAAGAGAAACCAGCCAAAGCCTTCTATAGAAAATTATCTGCCAGACTTCTGGGACATGCTTGATAGGAACTGTGCCTCCTGGGTTACTAATCACACACACTGAACATGCATCTTTTGAAATTTACTGAGGTGGTAGAAATAAGGATGAGCAATCTAGTTCTATGTAAACAAAATGACCACCTAGTTAATCTAAGACTTCCGTGGTGATATGAACAGTGTAACTGTGGACTATGTTATTATTGTATTTGAGTTGAAAGGATTCATGTTTGTGCTTCCTCATGCTGATCTAAATTCTGTTGTTGTACAACACCTGATGAGACAGCAAAATATGCCAGGCAATGCTAACAACTACCAATTACTGACTTTTTATTATTTTTTCGTTTGCTGTGTAGGCAGGGGTGTCTTTGAGATCAGAGGTTTATGGCTAGTGCTAACACCATGGACTGTGCAGATTAGGATTTTATTTTTGCCCCCCCCCCCCCCTCCCCCCGACAGAACAAATCATGACCTTGCTGAGGATTCCAAAATCGTATGAGAAGCCTGTGTTCTCTAACAGTTTGGTCAGTCACGTCTCCGTTAGGCACTGAGTAAAGTAAAAACTGAGTAAAGTAAAACAAGGACCCTTTTCCCCACCTTCAGATGTATTCAACATACAGGGCTAGACCTATATTTTATAGATCAAATGGCACTTTGTGGGCGATGTGGTCAACATTGGGTCGGCTGTCTTTACTTCCCAAAACTTTACCTGCTACCTGGAAGCCCAGGTCATGTTTTCCGGCTCTGTCAGGACATGAAACCACGGCTTTCAAGACTGCAGGGGAGCATTGAGCTGCTACACCACGGCAGCTTTCTCAGGCAGTAACCTGTGCAATATATTGTTTTTTTTCTTTTCGTTATTTCAATGAGTGATTTTAATTTAATCATATGGTTCCTGTCAGACAAGCATTTTTGCCTGCTCACCAGCTTTCCATGCGTTCAGAAACTGCCCACTGGAGATAACATTTCACAACAAAATCTTCCAGAAAAATATAAATTGTGAAAAAAAAAAATGTGCCAAAAAGGCAAACACAAATTTTCCCCTTAACCTAAAATAAACAAAACACTAAAACAATAAAGAACACAACAAGAACTGTCAAGCGAAGAGAGTAAGCCCCAAGAGACAAGCTGCATGCCAGATAATGGAAGAGAAGTGTAAACAAGCCGAATGCGCCAACATAAAACAGCCATCATGTGACTGGAAATCAATAGATTCCATCGGTCAAGGCAATTAGCAGGAAGGACAAAATGTGCATTTTCTGCCTGTGTGTGGCTGTATCAAAACGAGTGAGTCAAGAAATGTGCAAAACGCTTGTGAGTGTGTCTGTAAAAAAAAAAACATGTGTGCTGACTCCGAATTTGAAGTTGGTTGCAGTGCATCTAATGTTGTCTTTGCAAATATTACATAATGAGATCCCACTCTTTTCCACAGTGCAACTCTCATACCACTACCAGAGAGTGTTTCTGTGTCCTGGGGTGCCATGAAGATAACCATGACTCATAACTCGGGAATGTTTTTTTATATTCTTTTTCTTCTTCTTGTTCACTGGCTGGGAACTCCAGTGGGAAGTTTTGGCTGATCGCCCACCTCTGGACTCTAGTCCTGTTCCAGAACCTCAGTGCTGCGTGCACATCCGTTTCACAGATATGACTCACATGTGTGCAGTTTGCTGGTTCCTTGCCTCTTAGACAAATGCACTCCAACTTCGACGAAGCTTCCAATTAGTCAACTCTCACATCATGCTTCTGGGTAGGCAGTGGATCTATTCGTTTCCCCTACAATAGGGTCAAGGAAGCTATATATTAAATAAAATGCCCAGGAGTGTGTGCATGGTATCCTCATTGATGTTGTGCGCCTCCTAGCTGGTTGCCTCTGACTTCAGCATAAGGTGTGACAAAAGAGCAGCCAGGTGTAGTACCTGTTACATATCATCAAAAGAAAAGGATCTTTAAATCGATCAGGAAACCACCAGCCCCAGCCTAAGATGACTATTTTATTACGGACAGATCAGAACAAGTCATCATCCTTCGCCGAAGAACAGGGCACAACCAATTACATAACAACAAGTATACAAAATTTAAAATAGGCATATCAGCCATGTGTACCTGTGGAAAGGTGCCATAGACAGCAAAACACATCCTACAGAACTGCACCAAATTTGACACATTAAGGCAAACCTTTTGGCCAAAAAGAACAACAGTGGAACGTAAACTCTACAGATCACGGAACGAACTAAAAACAACAGTGAGATTTATGCGAGAGACAAAATTGCTATACAGACAACTTAATTCAGGCGAACTAAAGAAGAAGAAGATATAAAATGCCCTCCGCAGAAATCAAACCATGGTACATCAAGGACTGCATCTGCACAGAAAGCTGGTCAATTATGTAGTTTCTTTCTGACTTTATCACCTCTTCTAGTCTAGACATGGAAAATTATGAAGTGTTTTTCTTACTTTCTCGCTTCATCTAGTCTAGACAAGAACTATATTCATTTGTACTGATTTGCACTCACAGATTACAAGTAGAAATAAGTAGACATACTATGACCAATATTTGGTTAAGGGCCTGGTTTTATGTTACCATTACCGCCACCATCATCAGTGGCTTGTCAGATGATATAAAGCAGCAGTTTCAAAGGAAATCTACTGTAGTATCCTTCGCCCGAGTGACTTGTTTGCACTGTCCCTGTTTACAGCATAGCTGTGACTCACTTCTGTGCCTTCCAGCCACACATCCTACTTCACTGGGCATTTGTTCACCGGGTTGGCCTTCCCTGCTGATTTAGTGAGACATGGCCTAGCTTTTATTATGTAGTTTCTTCTTTATCACTTTATTAACAGGTGTCGCCACGCGTACACTGGCCATGCCACACCAAAAGGCAGGGCAGAACATGTGCAATTTCCCACTATCTGAGAAGGCTTCCATAAATGCAGAACTGACACATGGCGTTCTGGTCTTAGGTTCACCCAAAGAATTGTCAGACCCTGCACATGACTGCTTAACCTCACATCCCCATACTGAGCTTCCCATTCCTCATGGGTTGCATCCTTGAGAGATCAACAGGAAGCAGCCCGCAGATCTGAGACTTTGACTTTGACGACTTCATAGATCAGCAAAACCTGCCTCAGTCCATTATACACTGTTAACCTAGCTGCATGAAGCTCTGGGTGCAGTTAAGGGTCAGTGGCTGATAATATCGAAGTCATGGATGGCTCAGGCAGAAGACACAATCAGACAGGTTTGCATCCTTGAGAACATTAGGCAAGGAGCGGAGTGGGTCAGAGCGCCACCTGAACAGTCAGAATTTTGTAGAGTCATAATCACACTGAGCCGAGAATGCAGAGATTGGCCAGCAGGTGCCACAGAGATGGAAATTCAGCAATTATTTCAAGATAATGCTCGCTCAGAGGATTTGATCATTTACACAGACGGTTTCAGTGTCAAGAGGCAAAAGAAGTGCTTGGGGCTTCTTAGCAAAAGTTAATGGTGGACGTTTGGCGCAGGAGAGCCTAGCATATGATACCACAACATCCAGCTTAAGAATAGAGGTGGAGGCGGTCACTGCAGCTTACCGCTGGCTAGAGAACACCACACACACACACATACATCGTGATTGTAACTGACTCAGAAAGCATGCTGAGGAAGGTCAGGACAGGCATGCTTCGTGCAGAGTGGCATGCTTTGTGCAGAGTGGCATGCTTCGCTGCGGAGGACACGGGTGAGGAGTATTGTCTGGATTTTTTCACCGGGGTATGCCGGTGTGTTGGGAAATGAACAGGCGGACAGACTGGCTGGCTCTGCACAACTTGGTGGAATACTGATACATGATAAGGCAGACGTGGTTAGGGCCTTGTGGGACAGCGTGTACAGTTCGGAGGAGCAGATGGATCACCACAGTCTGGTGAGATTGATGCAGGGGGGAGTGACGAGAGGGTCCGGTAGATGCTCAAGGCTCAAAGGAAAAGCAAGACGGACATTTAATCAGAGTGCTACTGGCACCATTAGTATCAGAACTCTTCGCTGGCTGCTGAAGATGGGGACAGAGCGCTTTTTGGAATGCCCGAGTGCTGTGATGTCGGTTCTTGAATGAAATCAAATCAAACTAGCTGCATCAGGACACTTAGCATGACAGAATAGGAGAGGCATGTATCTCTGTGTGTGCGTGGGTGTCTGTGCATGTGTGTGTCCGTATGTATGTATGTATGTATATGTGTATGTGTGTACGTATATGAATGTGTAAACGAGACATAAGGTTGTGGATAGACATGACTACCAATGCCCCACGGCATGGACTTTACGAAAAAGAGACTCGAACACAGTTGATCTAAAGTAGCAAGTACCTAGAGCTTGAGACTGTTGAAGTAACCACATCCTTACCTATACAGGACTGCGGGTTACACCTGATTGGTGTAGCTATTATGAGTGCCTTAATTATAATAAGGTATCTGGGATCTGCCTTGTAAATCTACTGCCTAGACTGAAATGTTTCTAGTCTCCGGATAGTACGGTAAACCTTTAGGCAGCAACCTGAAGGGGACAAACTGGTTGATCGATTAGTTGAGGTAACCACTGTCTGGTACTGAAAGAGTTCAGCACAGAGGAAGGGGAAGGCCCCCAAAACAAAACACAAAATGGAATAAAGGCATCAAGAACAACCTTAGAGAAATGACAACCAACTTCCCCACACAGCAAAGTGGAAAGTCTACGACACAAACGATCCTTTAACACCCATCCCCCACTGCACTGACTGGAGGACGACAAGGAGTAGAATTGCCTTCTTCACCAGTTTAATGGAAAGAAATCAGATTGTAAGGTAATGCTGGACTGTGCCAACATTGTCAATGAGATATAGGATGATGAAATGATTTTGGGGTATTGTCTACATCACTGCTAAGAATGCGAGAACTGGGAGTAAGGATCAGCACAGCCAAGCAAGAGAGGCACACTGGAAGTTCAAGAAGTCTTGTTAACAAGCAGTGCACTGGCACTATTACCCATGGGGCGATGATGTATATGAGATATGCTGGACGGGGGATCTGAGCGCCTATGGCCATATGGGCGAGTCGGAAGTGTTGTGAAGACAACACAACTCGTAATCAATTTATATATCGGGGCACCACCAAACAGCTAAAAAGTAACTTGAGAACTTTATTTTTAATATACTCCAAACAAAGGAAAACCCACTGGAAAGTCCAATATTTCAATATTCTAGGAAAATTATCAGTTATGGGTTGGGGTTAGGATCTTTGTCAGCGTTGACTTTCTCAGAAACACCAACCACAACCCATAACAACCCTTGAATACTGGACTTTACTGGGAACTCTAGGATGTCCTTTGTTTGGGGTAAATTAAAAATAAAGTACCCTAACCTTTAGTATAGTGAAGGTGGGTATTTTTTTAATAATATAAACATTCAGCTCTCCTTCGAACTTTGTCCCCACTTTATGGCGGCCAAACAAATATCCTAACAGGGCCTCAGTCGTGTGTAAAATGTGGACTTCCTCCGACAAACACATCGCGGCAAAACTAGGATTACTGTCTGTTGACAGTTTTGAGAAACGCAACAATACACACGATAAAAGCTAAATGGCGGGGAGACTACTCGCTCTGATGCAGGTTATCGATAGTGTTCTTCCGATTAAACTCACTGCCGAGTGTATCAACCGCGCCGGGCAGATGGGAGTGCTAAACTAGATGGCTGGAACTCATGAGCAGCAGCTACCTCATCTCCTGCAACTTCCTTCAATTTATTTGCTCGTGAGTTCCAGCCATCTAGTTTAGCTCCCAAACCCCTGCCGCGCGTAGCGGCACTGGAAATACTGTCGGCGGTGCGGCAGAGGTTAAGAAACAGGTCCGCAATTAACATATCGCTGAGACCCTGTTAGAGTATTTGTTTGCCCTCAATCATATTGGCCCGTTATTCGGAGGCAATCTTAGTTTTGCGGCGGTTTGTTCCTCAGCAGGCACTCTGCAATTTGCATATGACAGAGGCCCTGTTAGGGTATTTGTTTGGCCGCCATAATATGGGGATGAAGTTCGAAGGAGAGCCAAACATTCTCATATACATATATGATTAATGATGTAATGTCTTGACATATTTATGATGTCTAGGAATACTTAAACGTCAATGACTAACCTTGTATGTAATATCACTGTATTGTATCCCAGGTCCTTATTTCAAATTTACATCCAAACATGTTGCGCTCATAAACCGCTGTACTAACCGCAACCTTAATTATTAATTAATTACTTTTATTACTAACTGTACATGTACAGCAGTAAGTACAACACATCTGAATATGTTACGGACTTAAATTTCCTGAGAAATAACCATAAATTAATAATATTCAGGATACCGATCATAATAATTAATTTAAATCATTCCTATTCGCCAATTGTTGACTCAACAGTTGAGTTTCTGTTTAGGAACTGTTCCAGTTAGAGAGACTCTCATACCCCTTTGCCTTTTGATCTATCTCAAATCTCCATTTGGCTGGTCACCTGACTGATAAAATATAACATTAATATTTATAGTCAAACTACTCACGAATAATGACGATGTCTGCCTGTCATTATGAATTACTCCAACGGCAGATTTACGATGAAAATCAGTGGAATAAAGTAATGTATTCAGCAGTTTTCTGCTATCTCGCCTCCATTATGTTGTATTGATCGGCCATCAACGGGCTATCAGGGGCACGGAACTCCTTCGGTGTTTCTTACATCAGTCGGTACAGTAGCGGGCCTTTTTTACGCCTGGGCACATAATCAATCAGTCAACCAATCGATCAGTCAATCAATCAGGTGCGTCTCAACACTAAAACAATCTCTAATGTGCTCCGTCCTTTGCCCTAGATGTGCACTCTCATGCTGCTGTTTGCACATCTGTGTGTGTTTCTGTGTGTATATGTTTCTGTGAATTAATCAAGTAACAGGAAGTATATATTTCTGTGTGGGTGTCTGTATGTGTGCTTGTGTGTGTGTGTGTATGTGCATGTTTCTGTGCGTGTGTTTCTGTGTGTCTTTGCGTGTGTGTGTGTGTGTGTTTGTGTGTATCTGTATGTATGTGTGCGTGTGTGTCTGTTCATGTGTGTCTGCGTCTGTATGTATGTATGTATGTGTGTGTGTATGTATATGGGTTTGTAAGTGAGTGGTTGGGCGTATGAGTATGTGGGTGTGTGAGTGCGCGCGCGAGTGTGCGCATACATTTTGCCAGCTATGCTTTTTCTTCTTCTTGATATTCATAATATACATTACCTATGTGGGTTCCAGGGCCCCATTGTTTGGGGACAAGAACAGACTCAGTGTCTCATCAACAAGCATGTCGCAAGAGTCAACTAATTAGAAATGTCTTTCGTAGTCGGAATGCATCTGCCTGAGAGGCAGGGAATCAACACTCTGCATACACTTTTCCCTCCAGTGTAGTTTTTGGCATATAATGCTATTCGTATTTTCTATTACACGGCACACAATGGGTGATGCGATCAACATCATACACGTCGCCTTTACTTCTAAAGACTCTATCTGGAACCCATTTTAGACTAGTCGATATGGAAGCTAATGTTATTTTAATTATGCGGATTCGAACCCAGGAGCTTCTGATCAGCAGGCGGGCGTTTCATACATCAGACGAAGGAAGGTTTAAAACCGAACTAAAAGTAGATCAACAAGATTCACAATATAACAAACACAAACGAAAAGTAGATCAACAAGATTCACAATATAACAAACACAAACGAAAAGTAGATCAACAAGATTCACAATATAACAAACACAAACGAAAAGTAGATCAACAAGATTCACAATATAACAAACACAAACGAAAAGTAGATCAACAAGATTCACAATATAAAACAAACACAAACGAAAAGTAGATCAACAAGATTCACAATATAACAAACACAAACGAAAAGTAGATCAACAAGATTCACAATATAACAAACACAAACGAAAAGTGAACGTTGTGGCTACAGAGATAATTACATCAGACATAAGGAATTGTGTCGAAATACGGACTGCACACAGAAGAGGTCGATGCAAAGGACAACATATTTCTGTGCCTTAAAGTGGTCTTCTGATTGTGGAGTTGCAACCGAAAAGTGATCTTTTTGTCACTGTAGGATTGTCGCCATATCACGCGAGATTTAGGGAAATCCAATAGTATGGGGTGGGGGTGGTTAGTAGTAGTTGCTATTCATTTAACACGAGCCCGCTGACCGCGAACTCAGTTTTGGCTATTTTCTGCGCGAAAAACAGTTTGTTTATCCCCGGCGTCGGCTCTGTGGCTAAGTCGATGCGAACGCTTCGTAATGCCGGGTTCGATCCCAGCTGCGATTCCATGTGTCTTGCGTTGGTTTCGACAGTGGTATCAAGAAAGCCGACCGTCCAGGGGCAATGGCAATTTGCCTAGAAAAACCACACAACAGCCTGGGGCTGTTGGGGTTGGTTCTGCAACGTCCTGTAAAAGATACGCAACTAACCTTATCCCCGGCAGAGTTTCTTCTCGAACTCTTACCTAGATCTGATGAATTTCTGATAAGAGTAACTATTTCTTGGGTGAGTTCTCCTTATCAGTTCTGCACTGCATTACGTGGCGAGGCCACGATGTGCTCAATTTCACCCAGTACACACTCTTATTCAGCGACCCCTTGCTCTAGTGTGAGCTTAGATGTTGCGCTACTGGATGGATCAACGTCAATCAGCAAGTCACAGAGCGTCTCTCTCGTCACAGCCCGCCCGACAGTCTCTCTTCCTCTAGCTAATTCTCTAGTCCTGTGTGCTTTAATAGAATGAATTCCAGAGAAATTTGACTAAAAAGCTCAACAAAATGGGAAAGAGGAAAACGTGCACAAAACAACAACAAAACTACGTTTCGGCCGGGCAGCCTTTTTCAAACACAAGTGAAATACATAAACGAGGAATGGAGAGTAATAGACAACACATCTTCAATGTCGAGTATCCACAATCGCGGAGGCCTGCCTCTGCTTCGTTTTCTGCAAGCCCCATGGTTGTTCTTTCCAGGCCAACATGGCATTTAACACTGACAAAGTAGCTCAGTGTATGGATGGACAGATAAGCTAATAGACTGGTTCTTCAGCAGGCAGACAGAGGTATCAGTGTATTACAAGTTTGGTTATCTTCACGGCTCTCCGGGTACATCCACAGGTGCTCAGTTTCTCATTTCCACATACATACAACCGTCACAAGGTTAATTCAAGCCAGTTCTATGCTAGCTAGTCACACAGTCCAGTGTGTCTGGCGTGCAAATACCTATCCCCAATTCAGGCATTCTTAGCAGCCATGTGGGCCAGCTGCTCAGAAACTCCTCCAATCATAGTCTCTAAGCACATTAACAGTGTCAACGTGTAGTGTTGTTTAAGGATGGCTTCATCCATCCATTTTTTCCCTTTCCAGATTGCTAGCTGAAGATCAACACCCCCAGATTACAAAATTACAGTCTGTGGCAACGACACCTCGTACTAGATTCATCGAGAAACAGCAGATCAAGTGGTTTGGCAATCTCGTTAGAATGCAGCAAGATCAAATACCATCACAAGCACTACATCTCAGCCACAAGAGCAAGAGGACAGCCACGGTTAAGTGAATCAACAACATTAAAGACACCCTACGCCTTCAGGGCATGACAATAGCCAGTGTGCACTGGATCGCAAATTATTCCTCCCCACAACGCTTAACGACAGAAGTGGTTTGTCATGATGGTGATGCCAGAAAAACAGGGCACATCCCAGATGCCCAGTTCAGCATCCAAAAAAAGTTATGAGTGAGCTACAGTGCTGATTATACCTGCAGTTCTATATGGGTAGGGATAACGACTAGAAGAATGAATAATTGAGAATCAACATCATGGCACTGGGGACGCCACTATAAGCCCCATCCCCATCTTCAGCAGCAAGCGAAGAGTTCCAATTGCGATGGTACTAGTCTTATTGTACATCCATCTCGCCTTTCCCTCAAGTGTTGAGAGTCGACCAGCTCCTCCTCGGCAACTCCTCACATCGCCATTCTCCTCAGACTAATTATCTATTTGTGCCTCTGCACTGTTCACTGGCCCCTCACACATCTAGCTTGTCATACATCAATTCCCTCCCAAGTGATGCAGAATCTGCCTGCTCGTTTCCCAACACACGCTTGACCTGAAGAAAATATCCAAAGGACATTAATTCTCCAGGACCTCTGAAGCGATGCTTGCCATTCTGCACGAAGCATGTCTATCTCCACCTTTCTCACCATGCTCTGTGAGTCAGTAACAATCACAATGTGTGTACAGACGATTTTTAATCCAATCACATTTGGTGTCAGCAGGGCTGGATCTAGTCCTGATGATGTCCCTGTTTCAAATTACACCAGCTTATCTCAGAAAACTTTACAGATGATGATCCCTGGTTGCCTGGGACTGCTCTCTCTATGATATCCCTCCATTTCATCGTTTCAGTCCATCCAGCATCATCTCTCTTGGTCTACCCCTACCCACTGATCTTTCCAGTTGTCACGAGGTTCTCCAATGCCTTCCTCCTCATTATGTTGCCAAAGAACAGTGTTTGTCTCTTTCTTATTGTTATTAAACACACGGATAATGCAAACACATTGTTTAATTTTTAGTAAAAGAAATAATTAAAATGTGTGTGCAAAATCACACACATTTAATAATATAATATTCTTAAATTCTTCATTAAAAGACAACTGCATTTGTTAACAACAACAACAACAAAAAAAGGAATTTGCTGAAGCCCCTGCAGACTGTGAAGCCCTAAGCAGTAGCTTATGTCTAAATCCAGCACCTAGTGTGAGCCTCCAGCCACCTTTCTCGGGCACCATTTTTGTTGTATTGGATGATGAAGAAACGGTTAAAACAAAAGCCAGAATTATGAAGCATTTACAAGTGTTTTAATTTATAAAGGTATATAATGACAATGTACTAAAACATCATAATGTTTTTAGAAAAACACACATGTGAACAGATGCAGTATGTCAGCAAAACTTGATCTCTTTACCATACCTATATGGTATATGGTGCTCCCCTATATTTTTATACAGCAACTGGCAGTGGATTTCCCTGTGTGGGTCCAAGAGCCATATTTTGGAAGAAGAAAAGAATGTCTACTTAGGGGATTCCTTCAGAATCTGAGTGCTTCTGCCTGAGAGGCAAGGAACCAACAGTCTGCATACAATTAGATCAGATCTATAAAACGGGAGCATATGCAAAAATTACGTCCCGAACACAGCCAAAGTCTAGAAAGGGATGAACAACCAGGACTTTCCACCGGGGTTTCCAGCTGGTGAAGGCGAACAAACATCATTATTGCCTCAAACAGACACAGGCGATGATCATCTGGAGTGGAAAGAGTTCAGGGTGAATACAGGAGAAGATGAAGGTACTGGTGATTTGATACAAAACCACACTAGGCACCCTTTATGTTGGAACATTCCATGATATAAATTTTAAGCTGGGTCAACAATGGAGCTGAGGCAAGTTTGTAAAAATCCCCATACACTGAATGGGATTCAAACACAAACCATCAGGTTGACAGGCATGCAAGCTGGCTACTGTAGTACATCATTCCTTTGTCAGTTCGTATGATGCTGTTTACACGTCAGTTGTTCTCAATGATTAGATCTTGTAAAGGACTTCCAGTGTGGGTACCCAAGCATGCTAGCTACCGCAGCACCTCAGTTCCTTTGCCAGTTTGCGTCATGCTGTTTTCTTCAGAACTGACAATTTACAATATCCAACAGTCCCTGACTGACAGAGGACTGGAATGGAACAAAATCAAAAAGAAAACTGCTGATAGAGAAGTCTGCTGATCTCTCTGGCAAACCTTTACACCCTATGGTAGAAGAGGAGCGACTAAGTAAGTTCTTCAGAACTGGTGTGCAAACAGTATGCTGTCTCAAAAGCTGATGAGGTATTTTGGACACATTAAAGATCAAGGTGGCCTGGAGAGAATGACGACTGAGAGTACAGCTTCCAGAAAATGATGCAGAGGCAGACCTCCAGGAATGTGGGCAGAAGATGCTGAAGATGCACATGACAAAAGCACACATGGGTTGAGAAAAGGCTAGAGAGAGAGACTTTCAGGCCTACTGTGACAAGGGTGACATTCTGTAAAGAACCTGCTGTCTGATGACTGTCAACTTCTTCATTGTTCAGATCTCGTAGAGATTTCCAAGCACAGGTTCCAGTGCACCAGTAGGGGGGGGGGGGGGGGGGGGGGGGGAGAACACTTACTGCTCCCATCCCTGATAAGCATAATGTAAATGGCGACTAATTAGAGGTTTGCTAAAATTGGATGTGTTGGGTCGAAAGATTAGCCGTAAACTGCAACACAATATGCTAACTGTTCTTTAAAGAACAAAGGAAGAACATATTGTAGAGAACAAGCATTTGTCTTCTATATTTTTTAGGTTTTGAAAGAATTTATATAAATGTAAAATACAATTAAAAACTACTGGCTTGTGGAGGAGACTGTTGTTGGACGACTTGTCTTTGTAGAGCCGGGACCTCTGGAAACAGTAGTTCTGATTCTGCTTGACGTTTCAAGTGAAACTTCTTTCACTTTGCCGCAGTGGTTCTGCCACTTTAGCATTTTCTTATTAGGCATATAAGGATGGAAGAATGGACATGACAGATTTGTGCATGCCAAGCCAAACCGACATAATTTGGGATGTGTAAACAGGCAGTTTCTGTTCTTACAGTTGGGGAAGTAACGACAAGTTGGCTGAGAACTTGAGAAGGCAGGCTGAAGAAGATGAGGTTTATATGGTTGCGGAGAGGGCACAAAATGTGACTGAGATCTGATAAAAGAAGCACTACTGATGCAAGCTGACTGACGTCTGCTGTTATGGGTGTATGGGCAGTCTGGGCGTGCACACCTGGAATCAAATCGGCAGTTAGGATGAATAAACAAACACTTATCTCCAAACCTACACTTCGGGAACATCTTGCAGTGTGCTGTTGGGTGATAGTACCCACATGAACCACCTGCAGCACATACTGGCCAGAACTTACACCTCTCTAGTTTCGGCTGCTCATAAGCGGATGATCCATCTTCCTCATCCGCTATGTCTTCTGCTGTGCCATGATCTTCCACGGCTATTTCATCTGTATCAGCATCAAAATCTTTCACCTCAAGTAATGTATGCTGAGGTTTTAAAGAAAGCAGTTCAGGAACAACTGCTGCCCATTTCAGAGACTGCACCTGCTGTAAAATTAGATGCTCAGATCTGGCAGCTTCAAGATCCAAGAGCAGCTTCTGCTCCTGCCACAGCTGCTTCAGGACAGAGGGCACCACTGGTGTTACAGTCACCGATGCAGCAGGACACCTGAATTTCTCCGGCATGGTACCAGAGTCTTCAAATTGTCCTAGGTTTGATTCTCTAAACATAGTACCAGAATTTTCTAACTGTTCTGCATGAACTTTTTCAAAGGCAGATTGTCTTGATTGGGCTATTTCACAGCCTGAATGTACTTCATCAACATTTTTGGAATCAAACTGACTTTCATCCACTCCATCGAGTGTGACTATGAATGTGGTACCCTTCCTTGGTCCTACCACTGTTTGATGCTTTTCCCCATCACCACCTACAGACCCTCCTTTAGTGTCACTGGCAGCTGAATCAAGTGTACAATCATCAGCAACATGCTCAACCACTAGCTGCAGATGTTCTTGATCCTCATCTCCACCCTGTTCAGCTGGATCATCACTACCCCCGAGGTTTGAACTCTTAACTAGGCCGGCAGGTGCTCCTTGTGAATGTCGATGCTGTAATACTACATCCTTACCTTCTGGACCTCTTACTGTACGTTCTATATATTTAAACTGAGACTGGATATCACTGGAAACAACCTGGCTGACACACTTCGAATTTTTTCTTTTTTTCCTACATGTTTGTAAAGCTTGTTCTGAAATGAAATCTTTCTCAGGTTGTTCTTGATATATTCTAGAGGCATTTTGGGATTTGTTACCAAGTCTTTCTATCAAGTTTACTTTTCCTTGTGTAGCTGCATCGTTTAAAGCATCTTGAAGTTCAGAGCTGGCCATTATGTCACCTGTTCTAGAATTCCCAACATCAAAAACACCCTCAACATCAAATGAGCCAGGTCTTTCCATAACCAGCCTGCCCAATCTGGATGAGATGGAGGTTCTGGTGTCCATGGATGAGGCAGAACCTGCACACACACAAGACAACCCAGGTTCTGATGAAGGATGTTTCTCTATCTGACTATAAGGATTCTTAGAAGCCAGATGCTTCAAGTCAGATGAAGCCAAATGTGCTGTTATCTGGAAGTTTTGAAGGTTCTTGGAGCTACTGTCCCCTTTCACTGCTCGTTTACATGTAAACTGTTCAAATCTTTTCAAGCAACTTTTGTCTCTAGTAAGTGGCCTGAAAGATTCTGCCTCCTGAGATGCGTCTCTTACAATGCCAATAGAACGTAAAAGCTCTTCACGTCTGTATCTGGAAATAAGTTCCCGACAATCCTCACGAACTTGTGTGCTTTTAGAGTAACGACCAAGACGTCTTGTTCGCTTAGTCTGAGAAATACAACTTCTTTGGTCCACTACTGATTTATTAGACGGAATATACGGAGGTGGGCTTTCCTCGTATAGAGAATCATGTGACCTCTTTCGTTCCGGAGTGTACTCTTCAATGTAAGAGCGGTCACGGCACACTGGTTTTGTCACTGACACTCTTCTCTTTACAGCAATTGAATGTTCAACTTCTGCTACTGCCTGAAGAAGAAGTTCCCTGTGGATGACACAAGAAAACGATTACATTAAATAGGTTCATGTCTGGTGTATCATCACAATACATACAAGTTTGTGGTGATACATCATACAGGTTCATGTCTGGTGTATCATTACAATGCATACAGGTTTGTGGTGATACATCATACAGGTTCATGTCTGGTGTGTTGTCACAGTACAGGTTCATGTCTGGTGTGCTGTCACAGTACAGGTCATATCTGGTGTGGTGTCACAGTACAGGTTCATGTCTGGTGTGTTTTCACAGTACAGGTTCACACCTGGTGTGTTGTCACAGTACAGGTTTATGTCTGCTGTATCGTTACAGTACAGGTTCATGTCTGGTGTGTTGTCACAGTACAGGATCACATCTGGTGTGTTGTCATAGTACAGGTTCATATCTGGTGCGTTGTCACAGTACTGGTTCATGTCTGGTGTGTTGTCACATTACTGGTTCATGTCTGGTATGTTGGCACAGTACAGGTTCATATCTGGTGCGTTGTCACAGTACTGGTTCATGTCTGGTGTGTTGTCACAGTACTGGTTCATGTCTGGTATGTTGACATAGTACAGGTTTATATCTGGTGCGTTGTCACAGTACTGGTTCATGTCTGGTGTGTTGCCACAGTACTGGTTCATGTCTGGTATGTTGGCACAGTACTGGTTCATAACGGCCATTGTACAAGTTAATATCAAAAGCATGAGGGCTAGGGAAGGTGGAACAAAATAATCCAACACAAATGTGCTTTTTTTTTCCCAAAGATAAAACCATTTATTCTGGGTTGTGTACATCTAAAGGATTTTGATTATGCTCATATGAATGCAAATTCAGACCCTTTGATTTTAAACACAAAAAGTACCGATTACAAACATCAAAATCCTATCAACCATATACTGCTAACAATCTCTGCTTACATATACTTAAACTTTACAAAAGACAGAAAGCTGGAGAGGCACGAGTTTATTTATTGGTTTATTCCACCGATCAACATCATGGCACACGGGTGTCACCCAAAAGTGCTCCGTTCTACTTATAACTCAAGCCTCAGTTTGAAGCAGCTCAATACAGTGCGTGCACTCTGTTGCACTGGCGAGGATCCTGATATAATTTGGGTCGATTTTTAACACCAAATTTAGCCCGGGCAGCGCCATTAGGCTACTCTTTTCAATTTCCAGCTACCAAGGGATTTTTTTTACGCGCGAACAATACACACGGGCGTACGATCTCACTACCCAGAGACCAGGGGAAATTACTGAAAGTCCACGTGAAAAAAAAAATCCCAGCCTTCACCGGGGTCTGAACCCGGGACTCCAGCACTTGAGGTGGACGCCATGCCTCGAGACCATGCAGCCCCCACCCTGTGAAGACATGAGTATTAACAACAACAGCACAGACTATAAGAATAAGAAACAACTTCTTCTTCTTCGAGTTCATCGGCTGTAAACTTCAGTGGAAAGATCTAAGTAAAAAAAAAAAAGTAAAGATCCCTTTTCACGCCTTAGGCTTATCGGGCATATGAGAAGAGCACCCATATTTTACAGCCTAATCGGCACTAGGTGGGTAATGTGGTCAGCATTACACCGGCTGTCTTTACTTCCCCAGGACATACATCCTGGTAGCCCCTTTAGGCTGGGTCGACCTGCAACGCCCCTCACCATGATAAAAATCCACGCAGCCAGCAGTGGGTTTTGATCGCGGTACATTGGAATTACGAGTCGGACTCGCAACGCCTAAGCCACGGACGCCGCATTGGAAAGATCTGGCTTTCTTGTATGCAGACTGTTGGTTCCTTGCCTCACAGGCAGATGCACTCTGACTTGGAAGGATGCCCCCAATAAGTTTACTTCTACTACATGGCAGTGAGTCTATTCTTGTTTTCCCCACAACAGAAGAAATGACTTCAATGTTGAGACCCTAAATTAGAAAAGAAAAAAGTTCATTTGTGTGGCCTTTACAGAACGTAGCAAAACCAACCTCAGTAGTTTTTGCCTGTTTGGATTTACTAGGCCATATTACGTTCAGTAGTTTGCCCCTGCTTTCTTTTAAGTCTGCACTCCAGGTTGCACATTGTAGGCAAACATCAGTTCCTAGGAAATAGAGAGCTGTGCCACTGGCTTTGGGAACAACGTCTGCTACTGAGTGACCTTGCAGGAACCTTTCCAGGGCACAGGCCTGGAGATGAACTGGAGTTCAGGCTGTAGCCCAGGAAGTGGGTACCCGTCTCGACACCGCTGGTAATGCCAAGGAAAGTGCAAATGCCAACACAGCTTGGCACCGAAGAGATCGCAGGAACTGCCAGAACAGCAGTGAGAACAACTGCTGAACTGCTTTAGGAATTCCGGCTCAATCACCTGCAGTGAGAACTGAACGAAATAATTCGGAATTACACACCACATTCGCAAACGTAAGCCACTGGTGCCATAAACCAGGGATAAAGGTCACAGTGACCAACACCTTCTTTAATGAGCTGCTGGAAACATGACCACATAATATGACTCATAAAATCAGAGCTGGCCATGACCTTCTCTTTGATAAACCGCACCAAGGACTACAGAATTTGCTTACTGCAAACACAGTTTCTTCAGCTGATAGTAAATGACTAGCTAAGTGTGAAGAGTTTAGAAATTTACTTGGAATTACTGTCTTCCTTGTCTACTAGGGTAGAAAGCAGCTGTTATGAGTAGTTGGTGAAACATCAAAATACTCTGACGTGCAAAGGGAGTAAGACAAGTTTGTATTCTTTCTACATTCTCACTTAAGATCTATGAAGAATCTGTAATGATAAATGCTAAACACGAAAAGGCCTGTTACAGTTAAATCCACCTGGCAAAAACACAATATCAAAACCCAGAGGGGGCTTCTTCTTCTCAAACAGGGCAAAGAGTTTAACAGTTGTTAATTTTATCCTTTAAGAGACATGTTGCAGTTATTTTTAATTTTTTTTTAAATTTTTAAACTTAAAATAAAATGACATGCCAACCCAAAAGATGACAAAGAACAATGAAGAAACTGAAAATGTTCTAAACTTTGAATAGCCTTGCTGCATAATTATTAGAAAGAGAGGACACACTAGACAACAACAACAACAAATCTAAAACTATAATTATCGTGCTGGGAATTGAACCTGCCACTTCCAAATACTGTCTGCGCCTCACTATGGAAACAAGTCTACTAAGAACATGACCAACTAGGCACCCCAAATAAAGGTGTCTTCACTGGGTATGTCTATCGATCGTACAACCTGAAATCCACAACTATAGAATACCGACAGAATTCATTTCAACCACACATGCAACACTCAGGTTCTGGAACATGACTGCAGTCCAGAAGTGGACAAACAACCTGAACTTTCCACCAGAGTTTACAGCCGGTGAATACAAAGAAGCAGTTAAGATTTCAAACCATTCAAATGGCACCATAGGTTACAGAAATTTATATTAACCAAGCATAGGTCAAATAACACATACAACAACAATTACAAAAATTTCGGGCCGTAACGCTGTGTCTAGAAAACAACAAACATTTAAGAAAGAGATGGTAATTTTAAATCTGGCCCCCAGACCCAAAAAAAAGGCTGCCAACCCCTGCCACTTCCAAATACTGTCTGCCCCTCACTATGGAAACAAGTCTTCTAAGAACATGACCAACTAGGCACCCCAAACAAAGGTGTCTTCATTGGCCACGTCTATCACACAGCTTGAAATCCACAACTTTGGAACATGGACACAATTCATTTCAAACCACTTAAGTGGCACCATAAGTTACAAAAATTTACACTAACCAAGCATAGGTCAAATAACACATACAACAACAATTACAAACATTTCGGACCGTAACGCTGTGTCTAGAAAACAACAAACATTTAAGAAAGAGATGGTATTTCTAAATCTGGCCCGCAGACCCAAAAATAGGCTGCCAATCCATGATCTAAAATCTTTGAGTAGAAACCAGGATCTTACCATATGAACACATCTATGCTGAAGAGTGCACAGAACTGGCTTTCTTCTTCTGTGTTGCCGAACCAGCTTTCACTTTTGCAATGCTGCTGTTGTTTACTCTTGCATCCTCTTCCTCTTCTTCGTCATCATTATCTGAACTATCATCATCCTCTTCATCATCAGAATCCTCGGAACTAGACTCCTGAGATGACTTCACTGCCTGTTTGTTTATTACAGTAATCCTCAGATTTTTGGCCATGACTTTTAATGCCTCAGGCCCATAGAGCTTGGGGGAGTCCTGGACATCCTGCTTCGAGGCATCTACAGGTCTAGGCGATCTGTCTTTATTCCCACCCTGCCGCAGAACTGAGGCAGGCTCCAAAGTTTCAGACCTTTTCCGAGTGTGAATAGAATCCACTAAAATGGAAGGCAAGATCTTATTTTTAGCTGAAGTGTGTTTGCTCCTGCCAGCGTGTGAAGAACAAGGCTTGGACTGAAGATCTACAGGGGAAGTGGGTGATTCTTGTGAAGCAGTTGAAACATTTCTTTTGATCCGAAGGCTCAGAGTGCCGGTGAGTGGACACGAATGGACTGAACTTGGAGAACCAATGTCAGCTTTGCCTAATGAGCCAGGAGATTGAGATTGATCTTGGAGTTTCCCTGCGGTACGTTCTTTGTCTCCAAATTTAACCACAGTGTCATATTCTTTTGAAGAATGTTTTGCAGATTTACCTGTGGATTTCTGTGACTTTGCAAGAGATTCACGGGGCTGCGAATTCACCCTGGTGTCAGCAGTGGAGTATTCACGAGTTACTGTCAAATGGTTATCTAATTTACCTGAGTTGATCTTTGGCCGACAGTTGTCAACATTATCTAGCAGATAATTGGAATCATGTATTTCCTTCTCTAGCAGGTTAGGATTTGTTTGTGAACTAACACAAGAAGCATGTTTATCTTCTAACAAGTTCCTTGAACCATCAGATCCTGAGTCTACCAATAAAGACTTTGAACATTTACCAAAACTATCAATCTCTGAATCATTACTTAAACAAGATGCCTGCTTTGTCCTGTTAGCATTTTGCTGATTTCCCACCAGATTTTCTTCTTGAAATGCCAGAGTTTCAAACTCATACAAAATCTCCTGAATTCGAATTTTCGCCAATGATAAAATCCGTGGTCGTAATTTTCTTAAAGATGACTCCAACATTCTAGAAAAATGAGCAATGTCATCGTTCTGTTCTGTCCTCTTGTCTAAGACTTCAGCTAAGGCTTGCTTGATATCCTCCAGCTGCAGAGACTCTGCCAATCTGATGACTTTCTGTGGAGGCTGCCCATCGTGATCTGGAAGCTCTGCATCATGATCATGGGTCGTTCCCTCCGGATCACCGTCACATACGTTCCTGTAAAACAGATGACAATTTTTATAAGTGTCTTCATGTATTGCTTCAGAAATCATTGGCCGCATTAAAAAAAAAAAAATACATATATGCAAGCTAACCAACACACACACAAGACATTTGTGTAATTAACTATCATCATAAAGTCAGCACAGAACCAATTCTTAATTACATACAAAGACAGAAAATCAAATGGTTTGCCCACTTAGAGAGAATGCCTTCTGATGCTGTACCATACAAGGCATATACCAAAAGAGGAGAAGGACGTAGAGAAAGAGGTAGACCAAGAACAAGATGGGAAAATAACATCAGAGAAACTTTACAGCACCACGATGTGTCTATGGTCGAAGCAGCCAGAAGAGCAGGAAGCAGGACCTTATATCTCCCTCGACACCCGAAGCGGTAAAAGAGGACATAAAGAAGTAGGAGAAGAACTACCATTTTACCACCAAGTGATACAGAACCAGCCAGAGTTATAACAATGACACTCCCCCATCCTAACAATTCAGATTCAACATCAATTAGCAGGTCATTTACAAAACATTGTTCTTGTCACCGCACGCATGAACACTCTTTTTCGTTGGCGAACTCTCCAGCCCTATGTGCTTTCACAGCCAATGCATCTGCAACTGCTTGTATCCATCCATATTTGTGTGTCTTATTTTCTAGGCTACCAAGACATTTAACTTGGTCAAAATACCTCAGCTTTCTGGTCAGGGTGCTGTTTATGAGCCAATTCTCCTTGATGCTAAGATCATGTCGGATGTCAGTTTTTTCCTTGTTCTTGGTGTATGTTCTAAGAATTGTTCTATAGAATTTCAGTTCAAAAGCTCTGATTTATTCTTCAGTGACTGAGTAAGAGTTTGTGACTCAAATCCATAAGTTGCTACAGAAAAGATGCAAGATCTCAAAATGTGTACTTTAAGTAGCTTGCAACAATTCAAATTACTCAACTAAATTATCAGGCAAATCTGTAAATTAAACACACCATTAAAACTATAATCACAAGACGTTAAGTCTTTCAGTCTGTCTATTGAAAAGAAACAGTTAACAACATACCTGGAAAAGTTTTCAAATTGAAGAAGTACAAAAGTCCTCGGAGACCCCCAAACACAGAAAACGCAATCATTGACCGCACTGCCGTTTCAAATAAAGCTGGAATTAAATCGTTCCCACTTTCCCATTAAAATTCAAATGAACTGACAGTCTGTTCTGTTTTTTAAAACATTCCCGAGTCCTGAATTTAGAAAACGGAGATGTGGCTATTTCTTTATCAATAAACAGACTGAAAAACAATACAGGCTTAGTTAAAAACTAGAATCATCACCACACAATCTTCTTTTTGAAACAAACCATAAGTTACTGCTGAAACAAGCTAAATTCATGGTAAATTTTCACAAAACCAAAACACAGATTCAACAAGCCATATTTTAATAGTATTTTTAGTTTTACGTTAATGACAACAGTGCACACATAAAAGAGTGAAAGGCAATAATGAAATTATAATCGTTTAAACCATCATTAATCAGTGTGTGAATGAAGCTGAACCTCACAAGGACGCCTGAAGGATTTAACAGCCGGTGACCCAAGAGATCACTATTCAGATGAGACTCCAGGTATAAATTTCAGAAACCCCATTCAACGGTAGGATTATTTTGGGTCCTTCAATGATTACGGAGCACCTGAAGTCCTGGGTGGGTATAGTACTGATTTATCAGTGACAAAATGCTGCAATAGTTGAGGCATATTGAGATAATGGCAGATAAAAGAGACAAAATCTGCTTACACAAAACAGATGAATGGAAGTAGATGACAGGGCAGACCAAGAGAGATAGAGGCAGACCTACAGACATTTGCAGTCACCCACTGGAAAGAGATGAATAGAGACAGTGCTAACTGCAGCAAAAAACCTCAAGGGTTCGGAAGGTTGAAGAATATCTAAAGCAGAAAAACTTCCAAAAAACTAAATGTGTCTTTTATGTAAATATCTACAGAGTACAATAATAATATTTAGGTTCTGACTAGAGGATGACAGCAACAAATAATGAACATGAGAGATGCACTTGAGCAAATACATCATCAAGGTCTAGAGAAAATGATGCAAGTGGGAGTAACAAGGCTCATAGCAAAGGCAAGATAGAACAAACTATTTTATTTTATATTATTAGACAGACATGCAGGCTGCAACCTGTACTGTGCTGGTAGCTGAAAAGAGGAGACAGCTTTCTTGTCAAAATGTTTCAAGTGTGATATTAGTTCTAAACAATCAATTGGGGCTTCACACTGAATTACTCAATGCAAATGCTAAATTCCAGCTAATTAAGAGGTGAGGAGAAGATGTTGGCAATGTACAGGACACACATTTTAAAAAAAACTTGATAATAGTACAACTCATTGACAAAAACCTGATGATAGTACAATTCTTGAGAAAACCTGACAATAGTACAACTCAATGAGAAAACCTGATAATGAAACAACTAGCAGAAATGTAGTGGGGGAGGATACTAGCCTTATCATAACATGAGAAATACAATCTGAAAATTTAATATGGCAGGCAGATCAGGCCCTCAGCCAGCAACTGGTACAGAATGGAAGCTTCAATAAGTTGACAAAAAAAGAATACTGCTGTGTTGATTCTGCTGCATGCTTTTTTTCAAAATGTATTAGTGTTACCTTTCCTTGGAGTTAACAAAGCAGGCCAAGAGAGTGATCATACTGCATTGGCAACAAATTGTATCTATAATACAGCCTAGGCCTTGTGCTCTAAAGATGAGCTTTACTGCTGATTGTTGCAATGAACTGTCGATAGTGGGGGTCATCATACTTCACTGAGGCATTTCAATAAGTGCTCTGTCTCTTGTCTTTAGGACAGATGTCACAGTAAACACTCTACAGCAGGGACATTCAACTAAGTTTATTCAGAGGCCAAAATGTTGCAAAATGGGGGATCATCATGAGCCAGAAGCCTGAGCTGCAGCACAGAAACATAAATTTTAGAATATAATTGGTAGGTGATCCATGGGCCACTTGCTTTGCCTTTGCAGGCAGCCATTTAAACAGCCCAAGTCTACAGTGTGATTGTCACGCAGTTTTAAAACAAAAAAATTCACGAGAGGAAGAACTTCCTTCTTGGTTGTTACAATGAACTGTCTTTAGTGGTGTTATCACTTCCACAGTCAGGCTGTTACAGTGAACTGTCAACAGGATAGCTGTCACAGTGAACTGTCTATAAGATAGTTGTCACAGTGAACTGTCTATAGGACAGCTGTCACAGTAAACTGTCTATAGGACAGCTGTCACAGTAAATTGTCTATAGGATAGCTGTCACAGTGAACTGTCTATAGGACTGCTGTCACAGTGAACTGTCTATAGGATAGCTGTCACAGTGAACTGTCTATAGGACAGCTGTCACAGTGAACTGTCTATAGGACAGCTGTCACAGTGAACTGTCTATAGGACAGCTGTCACAGTGAACTGTCTATAGGACAGCTGTCACAGTGAACTGTCTATAGGACAGCTGTCACAGTAAATTGTCTATAGGACAGCTGTCACAGTGAACTGTCTATAGGACAGCTGTCACAGTAAACTGTCTATAGGATAGCTGTCACAGTGAACCTTCTATAGGATAGTTGCCTACATTGGAGATGTCTATAAGAAAGTTTTGTGTGTTTGTGTCTTTGTCAGCAGTGGTTCTGAAATGTCTTTAATGTAAAAACAAAATGGCTAGCATCTGTGAAGTGAAAAAACTGGCAATAGTGACAATCTTAGTAGACTATTTTGAAATATATTGAGGAATCCAGTGATGGTGTGTTATTTATCTCTGCCCTTGGAGGCGCTGTGGATGTCGCGGCTAGATGCTCACCTGTGAATCTAAAGGTCATGGATTCAGGTCCTAGCAGAGCATGACTTTTTTTTTTCAAAAATGACCTTGGCTCCCAGGTTAACCCAGCCTCGAGTGGGTACCAGGCATAGTCCTGGGAAGTAAAGGTGGCTGGCATAAAGTTTACCACATCACCCATCAATTGGCCTATAAAATATAGGTCTAGCCCTACATGCCTAAAGGCATGGAAAAGGGTCCTTTAGCTTTACCTACTATCTCTGCCCAGGTAACTACATCCTATCACACAGCATATGGACACCAACAACATCATATAATAATGATAATGACCATGCTGCTCTCACCTGGTCACTTGCAACGACGAAGATGCGTCTGCAGTAAGCTCATTTGCAGTATTGTCAAATGCTGGGTTGTGAGTATGGAATGCATCACTTTCTTTTCCAACATCTGCTAATTCTGACTGAATTTTGCGTTTTCTACTGACAGAATATGACTGGCCATGACCTGGGCTATGTGAGGCACTTGATATTTTTGATTCTATACTTAGACGTCGTGCATTTACAACTTCAGCCTCCATTGCTTCTCCCTCGGACACAGCATCCCTTGGGGATGTATCCGTTAATATATCCTGTCTGACGTTGTCATCACATTCAGATTTCAAACTTTGCTTGGTAGAAGAACTACCAGTTTCTCTACTGTCACTTGCATCTGTGTACTTATTTCCTTCACCACTATCGATATCTGCCTGTGTTTTTTCTAGACAAGCCTCGGCACTATGGATGTTTTCTTGATTTGTGGGGGAATTAAGGCCAACAGTCTGCGTCTCCCCTTTCTGTTTATCTCCTTCAGCTTTTAATTTTCCTCCTTTTACCTGCTTTCCTGCTGATTTATCTAAATCACTTTGACTTCTAATAGTCTGCAGCTTTGCTAGAAGACGATGAAGCCATTCTGTAAAAGAAACTGTATTTGTCCCCAAAAACAAACCCAGATCTTTCCTCATCTGGGCCCGGCTTCGTTTATTTGCAACCATCACCATGATATAATCGGGCAGTTCATCGTCAACATAAGCACCAAGTTCCACAAGTTTTGCTTTGATGGCAGAGCGTATTTTCTGGCTGATCTCTGTGCCGACTTCCATGTCGTAGAAAAAGTTGTGACTAGAAACGTACGCAAGCAAAACTAAACTTCTCCTCAACGGACATCTTTAACCGGAAGTTGGTCCTAGATGGCGTTATACAAAAGAGTTATTTAAAAACGCTCACCAGGGTAACATCATCATCATCAAACCAGTCAGACAGATAAGCTGGATCTGCACCACTGGGTGCTGAATTGATACATGACAAGGCAGATTAGGTCAAGGCCCTTTGGGAACAAGCAACGGAATCAGTAGAGAAACAAGATTATTATGCACTGGAGAGAATGAGGCACCTGGTTGTAACCAGAGGGTCTGGCCTGCTCACTACACTCATAGGAAAGGCAAGACGGACATATAAATATGGTAATCTGGTAATTTTAATTTCAGCTTCATAGCAAACGGGTCACCCCATCTTTGCTCCGCTCCTGTGCCAACGAAAAACACACAGAATGTTTATTACAGTCCACTGTGGAAAGACTGACAAACTGCTGTCTCGGCAAATCTAGCATACACTCGCATTAAAGCATTTGGTAGCCATCCGAAGTGCTAACACAAACAGTCTGACGTTAGAAATGCAGTTCATCATTGATGGAAGCAGAAGTCACCAAAAGATCAGCAGTTGCACACGCGATCAATTTTAATCAAATAATGGCCCCCACCAATATTGCGACAACCGGCATCGCGCCATTTTCTGAATCTACAAATCACACCCCCACGTTGGTCAGTCGAAAAACAATGAAATTTCCAAATGAAATCCGCAGCTCACAGTGTCACGCCATGCACTCAACTCAGAAGCTGGGTAACGAAACTATATACTTCCAGTCTACAAATGGAGCAAAAAAGCAACGGCCATAGTCTGGCAGACAATTTTTTTAGCCTCGGCTCAAAACAGTGGCAGTGCCTAGTGTTCATTTGGACCTGAATCATTATGTGAGTGTTAATAAACTGTCACCCCAGCAGTACCCTACTGTTAGCTGGGTAAGGGATTTAGGACATTACATCCACCAGCAAGCGTCGCCCCAACAACGACCTGACTGCCTTCGTTAACGACTGTTCACCAAACAGCCATGAAGTTCTTTGGCACGAAGGAGACACCTTGAACTTGGGTTTCGGACTGCCGACTTCCTACACGAAGATATATGTGTGCTACTGGTGTCCCGTAGCCAAAATACTTAGTTAGTTAGTTAGTTAGTTAGCTGGGTTATCCTCATTGCACTCCGGACATGTCCATAGGTGCTCAGATCCTCCCCTCAGTATGAACCCCAACGTCCGATGGCTAATAGTACCAGTTCTATGTTGATTAACAAGTCTTCTGGCGTAGCTGGTGTGCGTCTCGTTTTTTGCTGTGCCGATCTTAATTCCCAAGTCTGCCATTCTGGCGAGTGATGTGGATTCACTGCCACCAAAGTCCTCTATCCTTCCCATTTCTCTGAGGGCATTGATAATATCAGCATGATCCATAGGCTGACCGTCGGTAGTGATAGCGGATCCAGCCAACCTGTCAGCTCTTTCATTTCCATCGACGCCTGCATATCCCGGAACAAAAATAAAGGTGACTCCACGGACAGTGGACTTCTGTAATGATTCAAGCCATTGTCTTCGCACTGAACCTGCCTGAACCCTCCGGATCATACTCATTGAATCACTGAGTATACACACGCGGGTGTATTTTTGTGTTTCAAGCCAGGCAAGCGCTTGTGTCACTGCCATCACCTCCATCGTCATGCTGCTGGTTGTCATGGAGAAGGCGCCGTTGGCTTCTTTGACTGTTCTGCCCGCTGAGCGTGCTGTAAATGCCCATGCGCTTCTTCTTTGGCGTATAGCCAAAATACTATCTCACTGTATTACTAAAATTCAGCACGCATACTCAAACGCGCAGTAGTTAACACACACACACACACACACACACACACACACACACACACACACATACACTCATTACCTGCCACCCGCTTGCTTGCTAGTGTAGTGCAGCACACATGACTACATATTTATAAAAGTATATATAAATATATAAATATATATATATATATCGGGAGAGGGAGAGAGTGAGACAAGGGAAGAATCATGCCAAATGACCACACATATGTAAGACATTGACACAGGGAATTCCCTATGCACACAAGGTCGGCATGACTGGCTCTAAGAAAGGGACAGTAAATTCAAATGGCTCAGTCAGATCAGACACAGTCCTTGCTGTGACAGAAAGTTGGCTGTAATAAAGGACTGCTGTAGAAAGGTGCACCCAAGGGACGGTTTCAGAAAGAGATGCATACTTTGTGGTATGTTATCGGTTTCTGCGCCAGCCTGCCTACTGACTGTGCTTCGCACAATGAGCTAGTTAACAGGCATGGCGGGCGTAGGAAAAGTTCGTGATGAGATTGGCTCGGTATGGTACGTTTAGTTGGTTAGATAGTTTTAAATAAATTTTTATTGGCCCTTCTCCTATCTGGTGGTCGCTCCGGCTTGTTACGGTCAAAACGCCCTGTTGTTGTCGACTGCACTTGGTCGCAATGTACAGGTGTGTCAGATCGAATGGCTGGGTGTCGCTAGATTGGATCGGCTCGGTATGGTACGTTCCTTTGGTTAGATTTAATATTAATTGTCATTTGCATTCTTGCCAAGAAATAGTTAGATGGTAGATTGCTGTATATTTGAGGTTTTGTTCCAGCACGTGGTCGTTTATGTCGTTACTTTTGGCCATGCTGATGTGAAGTTAAATAAAAATTATGTTCAACGTTGTATTCATAGTTACTGTTACAGTTGTTTTCTTCAGCTTAGGACTAGTAGTTAGTGTGCCTAGTTTACTAGTTTAGTTTCGTCGTTACCTGGACTATATTAGACTTTACACAGAAGATCTCGTGTCTGGGCTAGAAAATCCCTGTTTCTAGTCCCCACCTAACGAACTATTTTCCTTTATTTTTTTTTTATCTTAGTGCTAAGGGCTTCTCCGCCCTAGTACAGTAACATTGCTTGAAAAATGTATTCTGCAAGCCACCAGTGGTTGCATTCACATTTTCTAGGTTCTAACAATAGTAATACACTAGCGATGACTAATAATTATTAACAGCTCAGCCAATACATGCATAAATCGGCGTAGACAGAAAGAGAGAGATGGAGAGAGAGAGAGAGAGAGAGAGAGAGAGAGAGAGAGAGAGAGAGAGGGGGGGGATCACCGCGTAGCTAATTACAGCAAATGTATAGCGTTCATTGAATCTTCTGTTTCGATATTCAAACGTGCTTGTTGTCAGCCATACAGTTTTTGCGTGCATCGATCAAGGCCTGAGAACAGAAAATCAAGTGCTGTGTCTCTACGTTGATTTCCAGGTGGCAACGTGGTCACAAATGGAACTGTTGTAGCAGGGTAGAGCTGTGTGAACTTGAATCCTGTAAGTAAATTGGGTACTTAGAGAATGTCGTGTTCTCAGGTGTATCTGGTGTATCCTGATGAGATGTCATCGCGAAGAAAGGTGAAATATTTACAAGAAGAAAATTCCGAGTGTCTGTAATTATTTCTTTTTCCATTCGTGAACCCGCCTGCGTCAGAACAAATGTTGCTCCATTAAATGGTGTCCGAGATAGCGGGGCGTATATTGGTTGATGGCCTGGTTTCATATTTCACGTTTTACTGGTGTAAGATTTATTGACATATAACCAGATTGTGACCGGTACCATCAGTACTGGAACTCTGCGCTGGCTGCTGAAGATGAGGACGGAGCACGGTTGGGAATGCCCTAAGTACTGTGATGTTAATTCTTGACCCAACTCATCATCATCATCAAGTGCTTTGCAAGTTGGCGTAGGCGTTCATGCATCTCAACAGATCTCGGTCTTTGGTGTTCTGAATCAGTTCCACTGATTATATTTCTCCAAGCTTTTGTCTTAAGCCATCCACCATCATTTCTCTTGATCTGCCTCTGCCTCTTCTACCAGTGATCTTTGCAATCGTCGCGATATTTTTCAGTGCTCCTTTTCTCATCACATGACCAAAGAACTTTGTCTCTTTCTCATTGTTGTACTTCCATTAGCCATTTCCAGGCATCCAATGTTGGTTTATCTGGCAGTCCAAGGTATTTTCAACATTCTTCTCAAGAACCACATCTCAACTGCCTCCATACTCTTCTGAATTTGTTTGTTCACATTCCAAGATTTACTAGCATACAACAGAACAGGCTGGATGCAACAGTTTAGTACTCGCGGTAGGGCAACATGAGTGGTTGAATTAATAATGGTTCTTGCGTGATATCCTACCCCAGATGACGTTACATGATAGTCCAACATTTCAGAGGGCGGTAAGATTGGGTTTCCCGGCTCTCTGACGCTTTTAACGACCTCAAAAAATCTAGAGTTGGCCCTAACCCCAACCCACCTACGTCACATGAGAGAATGCAACCTAGGTGCCACGACTGCATGCAGCCTATCTACCACTCCTTGAAATATGAGAGTGTCCTGTGACCTGTGGATTGTCCCTGCTTGGAGTAGGATATTTAAAAAGCACCTAATAATAAATTTTATCCTCATTACTTCTTTTTTTTTTCTTTTCTTCTTTCAAGAATGCCAAAACAAACAAAACAAAAACAAAAAACAAAAAAAAAAAAAAAAGACGGGAAAGCGTTGAGGCCGAAGACACATTATATATATATATATATATATATATATATATATATATATATATATATATATATATATATATATATATATATATATTAAACAAACAGACAATGTACTGACCGTCACCCACAGAAAGAAGTGGAAAGGTAGAAGGACACACTAGACCAGTGGTCAACCTGGGGGTGAGACCCCGCTAGGGGTCGAGAGGACTAATGAGTTATGATTTGGGTTATCTTCACGGAACTCCGGACACGTCCATAGGTGCTCAGATTCCCCCCTTCAACACATAAATGAGCGTCCCGCGTCTTATGTTGGCTGACAGTGCGTCCGGTGTGCTTCTCGTGCCTGCCTGTGCCGATCTTTACTCCCAGTTCTTGCACTCTTAGCATCAC